TGGGTTTGATCCCCAGAACCTCCATTATAAATAAATAAATAAACCTAATTACATCCCCAACAAATAAATATATAAATAAAATAAAAAGAAGAAACATCTCAAATCATTAACCTAAACTTCTACCTTAAAACATTCGAAAAAGAAGAGAAAATTAAGCCCACAGCAAGTGGAAGGAAGGGAATAATAAAGATAACAATGGATATTAGGTGGTGGGCAAAATGGTTAAAAGGGGGTCAAAAGGTGCAAATTTCCAGTTATAAAATGAATAAGTCATGGGGAGGTAATGAATAGCATGGTGACTATAGTTTATAATGCTGTATTGCATATTCAAGAGTAGCTAGGAGAGTGGACCTTGAAAGTTCTCATCACAAGAAAAACATTTTTTGATTGGTGATGGGTGTTAACTGGACTATCATGGTGATCATTTTGCTATATATACAAATATTGAATTGTTATGTTGTATACCTGAAACTAAAAAAATTGTCTACTTCTCAATAAAACGAGAAAAAAGTCAATTATTTGTTTTATAAAAAAGGAGTGAAAATTAATGAGATAAAAAAGAAAAACAATGGTGAAAAATCAATGAAATCAAAATCTGATTCTTTGAAAATATCAATAAATTTGACAAACCTTTAGCTAGGTTGATCAGGGGAAAAAAAGAGAGGACTCAAATTACTAGAATGAGAAGTGAAAGAAGGAACTTTCCTAATGACCTTATAGAGATAAAAAGGATTATAAAGGAATACTATAAGTAATTGTATGCTACTAAACTAGATAACCTAGATGAAATGGACAAATTCCTAAAAAGATACAAATTCCCAAAATTGACTCAAGAAGAAATAGACAATGTGAATAGAGCTATAACAAGTAAAGAGACTGAATTGTAATTAAAAAAAGGATACTACACATAAGGAAAAGTTCAGGCCCAGATGACTTCACTTGGTGACTTCTACCAAGAATTTAAAAAAAGAATTAATATCAATTCTTCTCAAGCACTTTTGAAAAATAGAAGAGGAAACACTTTCCTACTCATTCTATCAAGCCACTATTACCTTATACTCAAACAAGACAAAGACATCACAAGAAAACTACAGACCAATACCTCTTATGAATATGGACACAAAAATCCCCAAACCAGTAAACTGAATCAAGAACATATAAAAAGAATTATACACCATGATCAAGTGGGATTTATCCTAAGACTGCAAGGTTGATTTAACACCTGATAATCAATTACTGTAATCCACCATATTAATGGAGTAAAAAACAAAAAATACGATCATCTCAACAGATGTAGAAAAAGCATTTGACGAAATCCAACACTATTTCATGATTAAAAACATTCAACAAAGTAGGAATAAAATGGAACTTTCTTAACATGATAAGGCATCTATGAAAAACTCACAGCTAACATCGTATGTAATGGTCAAAGACTGGATTCTTTTCTCCTAAGGTCAGGAACAAGACAAGGATATCCACCTCACCACCTCCATTCAACATTGTACTGGATTCTAGGTTCTAGCTAGGGCAATTAGACAAGAGGAAATAAGAAGCCTATGGACTGGGAAGGAAGAATTAAAATTATATTTGCACATGACATGATCCTTTATATAGAAAATCCAAGGAACTCATGAGAAAGCTATTAAAATTAATAAAGGAGTTCAGCAAGGTTGCAGGATACAAGATCAGTATAAAAAAAAGTCCTGTACATTAGCAGTCAACAATCTGAAAATGAAATTAAGAAAACAATTCCATTTACAATAGCATCAAAATAATACAATATTTAGGAATAAATTTGACTAAAGAAGTGCAAATTTTATACTGTGAAAACTATTAAAAAACATTATTGAAAGACATTAAAATAGATCTAAGTCAATGGGAAAACATCCTACATTCATGGATCAAAAACTTAATATTATCAAGATGGTAATACTTCCCCAAACTGATCTACAGATTCATCACAATCCCCATCATAATTCCACCTGGCTTCTTCGTGGAAATTAGCAAGTTGATTTTAAAATTCATATGGAATTGCAAGGAAATCAGAGTAGCTAAAATGATCTTGAAAAAGAACAAAATTGGAGGACTCACTCTTCCCAATTACCAAAGCAATAGTAATCAGGCAGCATGGTACTAGCATAAGAATGACAGAGACACAGAATAGAATTAAGAGTTCTGAAATATCTTGACTGTGGTGATGGTTACACATTCATCAGAGTTCATCAACCTGTACTCTTAAAAGATATGAATTATATGCAAACATACAGTGGAGATGAATTAAAAAACAAAAATAAGCCAAAAAAACCCATGCCTCCCAGTTTAGGGAAGAAATCCAAAATACAATGGAATCTCCTCAAAGCACACATTATTCACATTTCACCCAGCCCAAAGGAGTCACGTTTATCCACAGCAACGTGTGGTGTGTGACAATGCCAATTTATCTGCTGTTGGCTTACCTGACGACGTTTGTTTATAGGTAAAATTCTTTCCCAGTTGATTCCTGTGGTGAAACTTGGAAGGAGCCCTTGGTTAGAGATGGGGAAGACAGAGCCGGGAAGTAGGCACAG